GGCTTGTTTTACAACGTCGTTGCCAAGCGACGAAAACCCAACCCCGATGGCAACGGGGGCAAACGTGGAGACATGGACGACAAGAAAAAAATTAGCGTGACGCTACAGCAACGACACGTGCATGCCGACAATGAAGAGACAGTTAACAGGTTACCTGCATGACCTCCTCGTACAGTCTGGTGCCGCCCTTGGCGATGCCATCCAGGGTCTTGAAGGGGGCCGTGTTACACGTGGCTATCTTCACGTGCGCGCTTGACCCGTGCCTGCACCAAGCAAACAATCAAATAGACAACAGCAGTAGCGATTGCCGCAGGCAGGGAGAGCTGAATCGGAATACGGGATACACAGGAGATTGAGCAATGGCATGGAGGAAGACTGCTAACAAAATTGCAACATGAAAGACAACAACACCGCCAACGACAGAAGACACAGCACCAGCAACACCCCCGGAAACAAGAACGACGACGACGACGAAGAGGAACCATCAACAACGAAAAGAAACGAACACGCGGGCACAAAGACTCTCAGTTGCCTTCCATGCTCGGGGAACGAAAAAAAAAACAGCCAAGCAAGCAGCACGCGCAGCGGCAGCAGCAGCAGCAGCAGCAGCAGCAGCAAAATACAACGATAACAACGATATCACACCTGGAAGAGATGGAGTTTGCGAGATACTTCATGTCGTCACTGTCACCCCTCAGGCCGTGCACCAGCACCCAGATATGCTCCGCGGGCTTGACGTTCCTGTGCGCCTCCCTGTCGGTGAACAAGGGCTTGCTGTGCTCGCTCCAGTCGCCCCAAACCATCTGCCCCCTTTCTAGCTCGTGCATAGCGCGGACCTATATTCAACATCAACAACGATATTCCCGCACTGGTTAGCCATGTAACCGCCGTGCGTCATGTTGTGGGTCTAGATATCAATCGAAGACCACACCGGTCCCCACCCAAGAACCAAGAATCAATCCATGTTCCTATAACAGTCGAAAAATCTGTATCACCAATCAACGGTTTCTTTCTGGCATTCGACCCTTCCCTCTCCCCCCTCCCCCCCCCCCCTCTCTTCACCGGCAAATCACACACTTCTCCGATCTCCCGATGGCCAAAGTCGGTCTTAGCACCCGATAACACCAGGGTATACAAAGGTCGAAGGTTCATCGCAAGGGAAAGGAGACGCATTGTTTCCATCGTTCCATTCATCACATGCATCACCTTGACAAAGTATTTCTCTCCTTCCTTGAGACCCTTGATTGTGACCTTGGTGCTGTGGGCCTCGTCTGTAGCCATGGTCCAGTCCTTCAAGGGGTTGATCCCCTGCTTGTATGCCACCTGCCCCAACAAATAACCAGCAAAAAACAGGTAAAAAAGAGAACCACGTGCAGGACACACATGTCATGTCCCGGCGGCATCGCTCATCAACAGTAAGGGCGGGTGCGTACCAAAGGAAGGAATCGCCTCCGCATGGTTACATCCAAGGGCCCCGAACAACCGGTAACGATAACGACGGTGTATGTGCCTCGAGAAACGCGGGGCACCAGCACATGCATCGCGATAAAAAAACGGTGGATGTGGGGTATCAAGCGAGGGCGTTGCGGTTCCTAGCGTGCTGCTGCTGCTGTTGACAAGGATACACTGTTTGCGCGTCTACTCTACTAGAGCCCAACGGCGGTTTCGTTTGCTGCCACCGTTCACCTTCTCGACGCCACAAGAAGGAAAGGAGAGACAAACAACGCTTCAACCCTGACGTATCATACGCCCATAAAGTGAAACTGCCGGTGAAGCTGTCGGGTGCATGCAGGCCCACGGCACGCGTAGTCAGCCTTTGCGACACACACACATATCGCTCGCATCATGTCCTGGCCCTGGATCGAACTGCAAGTGAGCTACACACGCGCAAAGAGAACGCTGAACCATGTAGAGTAGCAGCATCCCTCCACCCAGCTGTACAAGTACAACACGCATCACCGTACATGTATCACCAACAAATTGAGAAAACACCACCAGCAACAACAACTATTATAGAGTACACAAGGAAACGACCACCGTCGCAACCCCAACCAACATCAGCAACAGCAACGACACAAGAAAAAAAAAAAGAAGCTACGCCCACCACCACCACCAACAACAGCAACAACAACAGAACAATAATAGCAACAACAACAACACCTCTTGACAATAAAAACAACATTGAACAACAACAAGAACGACGATGCATGCATGTGTATGATGTACATACCTGAAAGCTGTGCACCGAGTTGAGGTAGGGTTGCCGCGGCGGTAGCCACATCACCGTCAGGCTGCGGTGCGTCTTCGACACCAGGTAAGGCTCGGCCGGCTCACGAGTCCCTGATGTTCGCGCTCCCGGGCCTGTTATTTTCATAGTTCATTAGTCTCACCGTTGTTGCCATGGAAGACAGGCATGGACACGGGCGGCTCGTTTTTTTCGTAACAAAACACAACAGATCCCATACCTATCAACAGGAGAGTGTCTAGGATAAACTAGCAATCAATTCATTTCTAGTTCGCTGACTTTAGATGGCTTGGATTTTTTTTTCCGTCCATGTTTGTTTCCATGGAGTTATTTTTATGGGAAAGGTCTCGTCGAGATATTTGCCTACACAATGATACTAACATTGTACTTCTCGGGCATATTTACCCTACCCGTCGTAAGTCGAGCAACGAAACATGGTCCAAAGGGGGGGGGGGGGCCATCACTCGCACATTAACGGCAACATGTTAAAATCGGTCGGTTTCTGAAACCTGGAGGGAAAGCACGCCAATAGTTCTATTTCTTTTCTTTTCGTTCCCTAGGAAAAAGCCGAAAAAAAAAACTCATGTCCTTCCCTACCCACCTATGATCATAGCCGTGTTCAGCTTCTTCATCCATTGCGTCAAAGCATCGTCCTTGACAAACGACAGAAGATAGACCTGCGAATGGCAAAAAGCAAAAAGAAAGCAAACAATTGTTAAGCCGTGACCATCGAAGACAAGACAGGACGACGACCACCAAACCAACACCCGTTTCCGCGGCATCAACAGCAGCCATTGTAGAAGCGTAAGCAGCCATTGTAGCCGCATTAGCGTCAGCCGTTGCAGCTAGGCTTAGGCCCATTATGCTAGCATTGCTTTTGGCATAAATTGGCCATTTGGAGCATAAAAAAAGCATAATTGAAAAATAGCAATGCTCGAGCATATTTTGCTCAAAAAGGAGCATATTCGTCTGTGCGAGGAGCATACACGGCTCCTTTGCTGAGCATAGTGGCTGTGCGCTGGCATCTTAAGCGTGCCTGCCGCCTGATGCTCGATCGTTGGACATCTGATGTGAGTGTCACACTTGACATAAGTGCAAACACATAAGACAGACATGAAGACGATCTTAAAGGAGTACAACTAGCGCGCGCGCGCCCTCCGAAGACACGCACACAGCAGTGGGCTCCACACGCACACACGCCCGCGCGCGGACTGCTCGGCATGGCACGCTCTAGCTCTTCAAGCTCCAGCTGTCTTGAATCCCCCCTCCATGATGAGAGCAGTTTCACCCAGCTGTTTCACACGATTTTGTACATCATGTCTTCATCCCTCTCGTGAATCGTGCTCGTACTTTTCGTCGGTTGCAGGAGCACGTCAAGCTTTAGCTCAAGAAGATGGCACTCTTTCACATGCACGGCGTCCGGTACCACGCATACGCGAGAATCGGGGACCATCCGGGAGCTAAGGAACACGCGACCATCCGGCTTTTCGAGGGGGCGAGACTGCTGAACTTCACGTTCGTGAAGGG